ACCATCTCCGCCCCGCAACACCCAATCAGCTCCCACCCCGCCCCTCTGGGCGGGGCTCCCAGCTGGGACCTGGGGTTTCCCCGCCCCTGCTCCAACCCTGTCCAGCATCCCAGGCCTGTCCTCAGAGCTGTGCCGCTTGAGGCCTCAGGGGAGGCTGCAGGGACTCATAACTGCCCGGCTGGCGCGAAGGACACAGGCTCCGGCGGATGAAGAAACAATGCCGGAAACGGAAATGGCAGTTTACTGCTCAGTGCTGCCCGTTGACCAGAGTTCAATGTCCGGCCCAGGGACTCCGGGACAATTCTTCCCATCCGACTTGCAGCGTGCCCAGGACAGCAGACGCCTTCACCGCGAGCACACCTCCTCGTCACACTGCAGGCAACAGAAGCCACATCAGGCCAGCCACTCCCCAGGGCCAGGAGCCACTGGGCCCACCCTCCAGCGGTCTGTGGCCCAAGGAGAGGAAGGAATGTGCTGGACACTCCCTTCCATCTGGGACACAGGAGATCAGCCACCAGGACCACCCTAATGCCAGCTCCAGTCACCCCAGACAAACAGCCCTCCCCAGGCCGAGAGGAAAGCCCCTGGGCAGTCACCGCCCTCTGGGAGGATGGGGGATTCTGTGCCTGCCCATCCAGCCACCTGGCCCTCACTGGTCTCAGCCTGTTTCTCCTCTGGAAGGTGGGGGTGACACTGACATCCTTGGGTGACCTAAAGCCTGCAGGGTCCAGCTCAGCCTCTGACCCTGCCAAGCACTCAGCTCAAGGGAATTGGGAGTGAGGTCGTTCTCAGCAGGCCGTGCCTGCAGGGGCTGGCGCTCACCGGAGGCGGCTTGCTGGCACAGACCTCCGCAGAGATGCCCAGGGCCTGCAGGATGCTCTCCCGGGGGACGTAGTCACCTGGGGACTTCTGGATGAAGTGTAGCAGCACTCTGTCACCACCTGCAGCAATGGGGCATTGTCAGGGTGACTGTGCGCCAGGAGGGAGAGAGGCAGCCTGGCCAGCC